AATTTCAGGAGGAGAGGGTAGTAAATAGGAACTGTACAACCTGAGTGCAACTGCACAACAAAGTAAAAGAAAAGGTAGATTTTTGATGGACAGTATATATGTGGTTAATAGTTTATTAGCAAATAAGTTGGTTATTATTGGTATTGTTCCAATAGTTGAATTTCGGATGTTATTAACGCCCGGCAATGTTTGCTGCGGACTAGGGAGGAACACCCAGTTCAGAGTGGGGGGTTTAAGCCTCTGTGCCGTTCCCTCTCCTCTCTTTCCCTCTCCTCTGCTGCTCTGCTCTGTGTGCTGCCTGCTTACAAAGGTATTTTAGGGACAGCAGAGTAGAGTGGGCAAAGCAGAGAGAAAGAAACAGACTTTAGGTTGTATCTTATTGTAGACAAAGTCTAATTGCTCGTTTTCTATACAGTTAGCACAATTCGATAGTAAGGGAGATGATAATTGATTAATCAAACACCTGTTGAACAAGGAGAGTGTTTTAAAAATAAAAGTGTACTTGTATACCTTTTTAGGTTACTGTTAATTAGTCTAAGAAAATACAAAGTCCATAAGAATATTAGGTCTTGCAGTAATCTATCTCTTTGACATTTTTGTACACTGCTTTCTCTGCAACCGTGGAAAATATGTTTCTTAAAGTAGAAAAGGTTAAGAAACATTTTCTGACGTTAATAGTTGGTCTACATTATGTGACTTTGATAGATAGAGATTTTGGGACTTAACGACACAAAATGTTGTCTAGAAAGGGTTGCAAACGTTTTGGTCTGAATCGTTAGAATATCGTCTTTGCTTTCAGCGCACTTCTCCATACAAGTCTTTAGAAAACAAGAAGAAAAAACACAAGAAATAATGTGATATAGATGTTTTTTAATTGACTGAGTAGTCCAACTACCATTATCTCTACTTCATTGATAATGAAAGGATGAATAACTTAGCATTTCTGTTGTATCTCTCTATCAGTGTGATTATCCCATTTCCCCAGGTTGTGCGGATCAATTGGTCAGTTGTAGCATAACAATCATTATACAGTGTAAACAGAATAATTGTAAAACTATAGCGAAACATCTCAGTTAAAATGTCAGTCAATGCGTGAAAGCAGTTCTCCAGAGGTTCACACTGTATTAACGTCTTCTCCCACTGTAGCTCGATGCAGTGTTTGATTGGAATAGGTCCTGTTTGATCATCTGGAGCTACTTAGTTTACCGGAGCATCCACCATGCAGTAGATTTAGGCAGTCCTGTGGGTTTGCACTTAGTTCATCTCTACCCTAATCTCCTGGCGATTGCAGCTGAATACTTTATTGATAGGGAATCGACTCCAGTCCTCCGAGCCGATTTCTATAATTGATACTGTTTGAAGTTAGTCCCAGAAGGCTGAGCGTTCAAAGGGTGGCTGCTGTTTTGATCAATTATTTTCAAGTGCAAACTTTAAAAAATCTGGATTGAGTCAATACCGCCCTCTTGTTTATACTTTAATTCAGCTGTTTTAATACAGATTAAGGTCGTTTATTCACATAGCATGGGTTAATGTTATGCTACATATGTTATCATGTCAAAAATATTAGCGTTATATTTAAGCAATAGCTTCGCGTCGGGCCGAACCACGCCCCTTAGCTGTGATATAATGAGCATATACCACGGCCTGAAGTGAGCTATTGCTTTTATAAAACGGTTACCAAGTGTGGCAATATGAAAAATACACACTCTAATTTAAATAGTTTTTATTAGTAAATAATGATGTTCAAAATAAAATAGTCCCTCCGTTGCCTTCTGCACGAAACATAGTGCGAGGTGGTTGCTATGCAACAACACTAACAGCTAGCGAACATATTAGACAGAGAGCGTTGATCGATTATTTGGCTATTTATTTACATTAATTTGTATGTTGCCGTTTATTGTGCACCCACTGAAAAACTGTCCAGCATCAGTAGCATGGCTTACGTGGTTACTTGTATAGGCTGAGGTTGTTCTAGGCTGTTGCTTGGCGTGGCGAGAATATTGCTCCACTTTCTCCGGTCCCCGAGATTCGGCTTCCAGTAGCTCTGGAGAGAGCTTTCGCACCTGTGGCCACTAACGGTCATAATTTCTCTGCTTTGTTTCAAGACCCGCATCAGAAACCTTTTGAATGGTGGTACTTCTCCAGTTGGTCTACCTGCTCTTCACGTAGCTCTGCATGTCGTCGTTTAGGTGCTTTTTTTTCTGGAGATAGCCACTGCTCAATCCACTCCTCCATAGTAAGGCCACCCCGGAGGTCGAAGTTAACCTTAAATGTTTCCATCTTAAGCTTTGGTAGTTAGTTAGTTTCGTAACGGACGTAATGTCACAGCTGTAACGGTTGTAGCTTTTTCTCAGACGCGGAGGGATACTGACTTGTGAAAAGTAACTACAATTCTACCTGTGATATACGCTCATTATATCACAGCTAAGAACCAATCAGATTGCTTGATTTGACTTGTCCGTTTTATAATGCAATTTATATATATTTTGTAGCCCTGGTATTTTAATAATGTATACTATTGTTTCAAGCGATTGTTCAATTTAGGTGCTTCAGACTTGGATATAATAACAGTATATTACTTACTAATTTGCCAAATTAATAAAAGGGAATACAAACTGTAGGTTCCTATCAGTGTTGTAAAACTGCTAGGAAAGACAGTGGGACAAGTTTTGGTACAAAAACATCTAAATTAAATAAGGTTTTCCAAGTGTATACTTTTCCCCAGCTTTTATGGTTAGCCTTCATCCGTGGTGCCCGGCCTCGCGCCTCCAATTTCCACCTCTGCCCGGCTGAAGGCTCCTCAGAGACGCTTGGCTGGAGCTCTGGGCCACTGGGCCTTTGGACCTCAGAGTCCTCCACTTCTGTGCTTTGGATAGTAAAAGAGGGAGCTGCTATATTAAATCCTGCCCATTCTCAGCCCCAGTCCGCCTCACCGTACACTCCCACCTGCTCAATACCTCAGAAGAGCTTTCAAGTGCTCTTTGAAAGGAAAAAAAAAAAGGGAAGAAATCAGACCGTGCTCTTCCAGGCGCTCAATAGCATGGCACTAGCCTCTTTCAGCTCCCATGACACCACTCTTCCCCCCTCTCTTCTCAGTTCTAGGGTGTTTCAATTTATTTTTCTGTTCTTTTTTTTCTTCTCTCCTTCAATCTTCTATCTCTTACAACCTTGTATTCCCCCTGACTGCCTTCTTGTCTCAGGCTCTCAGCATTTTCTTAGTGCTAGAGAGAGCTGCATTAGCCATAAATCAGGACACTTTTTCTGCTGCCTCAATACAGAAATGTGTGTTTTTGGCATTATAGTAGAGCCTTTTGTATTTGGCCCGGGACTAAATTGAATGAAAAATGAATACATCACCTCAGTATATTACAGTTGTTATTTTGGCAGTTGATGGGGAATCATAGCTGCCATAAACACCTGCTCGGAGTAAATCTTCTCATGTCTTCTGCCCACTGGCCAACACAGCAGCATAGGATCAAATGCTGAAGTCAAATAAATGTTGCTGATAATTAGTCATGTCTCATCTTCCCCTCCCTTGCAATTAAATGTGACCCCTTTATGTTTTATGTATGCCAGCATAAACTCCTTTACTCCTAAAACACCTTCTAGATATGAGACGGGAAGTGTATTGTAAACTAATTGCTCCATATTGGACGACAGCCACTAGATATTATATTAAGTTTGTGTTATTATTATGTGAAAGTAATGAAACACACATACACACATGTACTATAGGAGTTTATGAATGTACGCTGTCAAAACTAATTCCCGTTCCTGTAACATCTTAACAGTTATAAAGCAGAGACGGTGCTTGGGAAAGCTGTGATTTGAAGACATAAGCCTCGGGCTCCTCATTCCACTCTGCTTCTGAACTCCCCTCATGCTCCCTGATACGGAGACACATTATAAAGTCTCTCCCTGTAGCTCTCCTCTTATCTTCGCCTGCTATAAAACTATCTCAGAGAAATAGCACAGCGTTAAGGTTTGAAGTAATCTGTTTCTTTTCATTCTTCCATGAAACATATGCCTACTTTGTAACAAGGGGGAAAACTAATTATAGACTTGTACAGGAAAGATAATACAGTTGTAGTGATTGCTTTGTCCCAGTGCTGGGGTTGTGTCTCGACAGTGTATGTGTACTGTAATGATGGCTTTATCTAGCTCCAATACTCCTTTACAAAGCCCTGTAATTATGTTAGATGCCCACAGAATGGCAGACACTCTTGGGCAATGGCCATTGTGAGGGAAAGAAGTACCAAAGGTCTATTAAAACTATTTTCCACTATGTATGTGTTTCGGCACATAGGTTACTGCGTGGGCAACGGCATGCTTTACTGGCAGCGGGCATGCATGCAGTACAAACAAAGGCAATGCAAATATACATGGAAAGGTTTATATGCCAATGCTCATAGGTCAGATCGTCAGTTTCCACTCAGTCTTTGCAGACTGTTTACACATAGGTGGATGACTTAGAAGCCTGTCATTATGTGTAAAGATTGAGTTTTATGTTGAAAAATCTAAATACATCAGCAGTGATTATAGCCCATGATCATAACATTGGGGGTAGAGTTTACTATACTTCTTAAAAAAACGTACAACTGTCAATGTAGTGTCCCTGCAGTGTCTCTCGAACTGCTACACCTTTTCTCCGCGAGGTAAACACGGCATAGTTCCATTGCCAAGTATTTTCATATGGTTGTTTACAACAGGCAACCTCTTTTGTCATGACACTGCTTGAATATTTGTTTTGATATTGTTGCAAGTCCAAGAGTACCATGTTGGTGTGAATGTTTTGAGTGCAAGTATCTGTTGGCATGCGTCTCATGAGTGCCGTAATGAGATTATTTGAGTGCACATCCGACGAATAGCACATGCCTGCGTTTTTTTTTCTCTGGACTCGCAGAGCACTCTTTCTTCCCAGAGGTCAAGGACAGATAAGGAGGTCTCTCTCTGTCTTCCTCACTCTCACCCATTTCCCTGTCTCTATTTCCCACATGTAGCGCGTGAGGCAGTGCAGCGCCATCCAGCCGTGAAGCCATTTGGCGGTGAGGAGGAAGAGAGGGGCCAGCTGAAGGTTAGTCAGAAGCACAGACAGACACGCATCCATACGTACGTACAGAGAATCATGCCTCCATTAGCAGGGTCTCTGTTTACCGAGGGGGAGACGCCAGGGATTTGGTGGCATACGCTGCAGCCCCTGGCAGCCTCGTGACAGAGCACTTACAGTAGAGACGGTGACCCAGAGGCTGTGTCCTGAGGCAACGCTGCCGGGCTGGGATGGACAGTGGGGGTGATTGGCGTGCCAGTTTATCTACTGTTCAAATACCAATCTTAAAGCATTTCTAATTTTTGTGTGATGCCTGTAGGGCTTCAGACAGCATCAGGGGACATTTTCTGGGCCATTTCCTTCAACTCCATGCCACAAATCCCTGACCTGTTGGTGTATTCTGTGCATTGCCTCCTAGAAATATTGATAGTAGTTCAATAGGAGAGCATGCAACTCATATACTTGTCCAAGATGTCCCACATGGGCAATACAAGTTGTTAACAAAGAAGTTTTATTGTAGCTGGACTGAGTAGCATATGATGTAAAGTTTTTGAATGCAAAAAGTTAGGGAATTTGGCAGATCATTGAAAGTCAGAACTGGACGTAGATAAAACAAAATTAGACTCTCGGCCAGAGGTGGCGCTAGACTTTTTCGCTGCCCGTCATTTTGACGGACAGGATCGTAAAATGTCCGTCAAAATCCATTATTACCCGTCGGTCTACTCTGTACACAACTCTGACGGGGGGGGGGGGGGGAAGAGAGGAGAGAGAGGGAGGGCACGCTCGTGAACTGTTGAGGGGGGGGGGCACGCTCGTGAACTGTTAGCGCCGGTGTTATGCTGTGTTATGCATGCCCACTGCACCTCGCGGGAGCGCGCACAGCGTAAAGCAAAAACTCCCAGACACTGTTTGTTTGTTCGGCAAAGTTAGGTTTGGAAACTGTATAATTTCCTTTTCGGCAGGCATGCATAACACGGCATAACACCGGAGCCTCGCTGCGGGGAAGCTTTGGTGCTGTTCTGAGTTTGTTCTAATCTGTCAAAATGACGAACTGTTTTCAGATTTTTCCGTCATTGTTAAAAAAAACGGAAAATATTCGGTTAACGCGACCTCTGCTCTCGGCCCACTGCAGCGATATTTCTTTCTAGAAGCATTTAGTGGGGAATGTTTCATGAATCTGTGAAAACTCTGTATCCCAATGGATATACATATTTAATGACTCAGTTAAGCAATGTCATCGTTGTGTATTATTAATAAGATTGGGGAAACATTTGCAAGCTGCAGTACTTTGTGTATTTAACGTCTCCTTGTGGGTTTGTGCAGCCCACAATACCAAACATATAAAAACGAATACAAACAAAACAAATAATTATTACAGGCTACAATAATTAGGGGTGTCGTAAAATACTTTATATGACATTTAATGCAAGTTTGGTTGGACTAGAGGAAGTCTATTAGGATATACAATATAGCAAGACTGGAACATTGTCGATGTTTATTAATCTATGTATCAGCACTGATGTCATTTTCTACCTTTTCATACGTCTTGTCTACAACTCAGTTACAGCTGTTCAGTCCCTCTCTTGTGCAGTTTGTCAGCTATGCTCCTTCCAAACAGGATCTTAAAGTTGGATTGTTACTTTGCTCTTGTTGACTTCGAGCGGGTAATATTCCACAGTATGGAAGATGGATAATAACTGTCTTCTTTTTAGCTAGGCAGTTCCAAGACAAAAGCTGTCTTCATTAGGACCCCGTTAGACCTTGTTTCACCTGACTGACTGACAGACTGGCCGTGATGAGGCTCCATTAGACTGCTGCACAACTCTCTGTGGACTGCCCATTTACTGAAGGGCCCTCTTTCCCTCTTTCTCTACCTCTCTTGCTCTCGCTTGTTCTGTCTGACCAGGGTAACCCCAGGAGCCCCCTTAACCAACGGTGGTTGAGAGCCCAGTCAATCAGACGCAATGATGTTAAACTCCTCTCCAATGAATACCCTTCACCAGTCATCACAGAGATTGTCTCTGTGTGGCGGCTGATTAGGAGCTTATCTCAAGTAGGTTCATCTCAATTTACTGTCCGTTTGAAGAGAGGAGCTAGCTTTTACTATTGCTCTGTCCTCTACACGATTGCTTTACCTCGGAGCAGACAGACCTGTAATGAGGAAATAACATGCCTTGCCATGCCTTATACAGCCCTTTTCTAATAGATTTGTCCGAAACAGTTCACAAAGCAAAGCCTGTGCATAGAAAGATATGAAAATGATCACATGATGGTCCTGGGAATTGTTCACTGAATTATATTTGATCAGGTTAACCTCAGGAGCAGTTTCTGTCGGCTGAGCATTGCTTTCTTATTGCCAACATTAGTTTGGGGGGGAATGGACTTAAAATGTTTATTATGCAAAACACAACTGAAAAATGATTTTGTCTGTGAAGAACACTGGTTTCCGCCATTGTATTGCAAACCTGTCGGGCCCAGGTTAACGTCCCACCTACCTATTCATGTTTTTTAAATATATTTTAAAGATTTATTTGTCTAAACAATTAAGCCCTATAGAAAGGTTGATTTGAACTGAATGAGTGTGGTTGAGAAAGAGAGCCTGGGTGTGTGACTGCAAATAAGTAATTATGATTTTATAAACATTTTAACTGCATCATGCTGCGTTCACACCGGACGCGATGCGATGTTTGGGGGCGGCGCGATTTACATGTAAAGTCAATGCAGAGATGCAAACAGACGCGAATTCGCTCCGACAGCGCGCATGAAGCGGTTAATGCGAATGCCACGGCACAATTGAGGTGATTGGAGGGGGCCGCTCGAGCGTCAAATTCGCGTGACACGATCTCGTGGTAGCCAATCAGCGGTGAGGATCTCAGCCTGCCTTCACTGACGTTGAACCACAAAACCAACATCAGCCGTTAGCTGTTAGCCCTCAGAGCTCACAGCTCCTCATATCTGTTCAGAAACTCGACAAAAGTTAAACAAGTACAAACCACAGACTGTCTGTGTCATGGTGAATACAGTCGCTGCTTTATTTATGTCTGTAGGCCGTTGTTGTGAGTGTGGACGGTCGGAGCAGCTACAACGTTAGTTTAGCCGATCTCCATTCAAAAAACACGCATTTTAAAAGGTTTTTCGCCTGCCGTCTGTCTGCAGACTTGTCAAAGCATTAATTCATGGTTTTTACTAACCGGTATCAGTATGTTGTTACTCCGGCATTATTTTGAAACGTGTATTACAATTAAATCACGGTCAAATATGTTCATTTTGTTGTAGTTGTAGCCCCCTCAACAGCGATTCTTGTTTGAATGATGCGAGTAAACACAGCTGACAGCCGCGGTGAAACTCGAGCGTTTAGAGCGATGCGATAGGAGCGATTAGAGCGAAGCGAATATTCGCATCGTGTCCGGTGTGAACGCAGCATAAGAGTATGAACTTGTAAGGTGGACCAGTTTTTCTGGCAACAGGGGCAAAACATATTTTCTGGTGGAAACCTTGAACACGTATACTAAAATGAGCTGCCAAACTTAAAGTTTAGTTTTCAAAAAGGTTTTAGTCTAAAACAAACCTCTTTTCTCTTCTGTACCTTTGTATGGCAACGATGAACAGTAGCTTACACTTTTGCTCATATACACACATATGCAGTGAGGTCCTTGTCAAGGTCGGGCCAGGACAGGTAGAAAGGCGTTGAATTACTGTTTTTGAATTCCCTCCTGTGACACTCTTTCAAGGAGATATGAAAAAAAGGTGCATCGATCTCCATAATGCATTGCTCCATGTTGCCAGGGGGGGAAGTGAATAGGGATGGCAGGTTGGAGGGTAATCTCGGTGTAAGGAGGTTAGCGGGCATAGGATTTGATCATGCCTGGCCATTCGGTTCAGCGTTGAAGGATGTTGCATGCGGCGGTGTCGGCCACTGAGTGCCCATCGAGCCAGACAAGTCAATAAGTCCCCATCACCTCTCATTGGTTAGTGATGCTCTATTGGAGAGACAAAAACCCCGTTCACTGCCTCCCCCTCCCCCTGTCTTCACCTGTCAAGTGATGTATGGGCAGCAGGGAATCAGCGTCTGCTTCTAGCACTCAACAGTCCAGCCAGCAGCACACACATCGACAGCCTTCAAAACTATTCGACTCTAACGTTTACTATCACTCAGTGTGGTGTGTGATTGCAGGTAGGTCTCACGATAATTAATTTTGTTGGACGATACATTTTCCCGGGACTTATTGCGATAAACGATAATATTGTCGCACCATTTTAGACCACTGACATAATGATAATATATAATAATAATTCAAGCACATCCTTTCAAACAGAACTTTTTATTGAACATTCAACATTGCAAATGAAATGTGAAATAATATTCAAATATATAAATTATATATAATAAATAAAACAAATAAATTTAATTATAACAAATTAATTAAAATCACACACAACCAAAACAATCAATTAAATAGACTCAGGCTGGAAAACAGAGCTCTCTCTCTCATATATATATATATATATATGAGAGAGAGAGAGCTAGAGTCTATTTAATTGATTGTTTTGGTTGTGTGTGATTTTAATTAATTTAAAATATAAATAAATAATACATAATAATAAATATATATATATATATATATATATATATATATATATATATATATATATATAAACATAGAACAGCTGTTATATATATATATATATATATATCAGCTGTTATATATATATATATATATAAACATATATATATATATAAACATATATATTTAAACACATATATACATATATGTTTATAAACATATATATATATATATATATATATATGTTTATAAACATATATATATAAATAAATAAATAAATATGAGCACACATGGTCTCACAAGCAAAAAAAACCTCCTTAAAACAACAGTCAAGTGTACAGTCCACTGTCCATACAAAGACCCAGATGCCTCAACAGGCCATATCCAAATCTGTATTTCAAAGATTTAGAGCAAGGAACACCAACATGTTTGCATTGTCGGGCAAATGCATCTTTGATTGTA